AAAAAAAAAAAAAAATGGAAAACAAACAGAAAATGCGGTTAATTTTAGTATTTACTTGTATTCCAATTTCCAACCCCACTTCCCAAACACAAGCATGAAAACCAGCGCACAAAAAGGGGGCAAAAATAAAAATAAAACCTCCATTGATTTACAGCTAAGTCTCAGCTTGCACAGTCTACTGCCAGTTCACAACTCAACACGTATGCTGATCGATCCTTAGAAAACCTCCGACCTAAAACTACTCGTCGAATCCTGTAAGGATCGGTATTTTTCTTTTTATTTTTCCCCACTTTCCGTGTGTAAATTGTAATAACTGGTTCGATCCGAGAAAGCTTTAGCAGCATCATTAATGGAAGGCGGTGAGAGAAGCCCGTTGAGAGTGGAGGGCATGAAAATGAGGCTGCAGGCTGATCGGGCCTTCGTCATGGAGCCCGATGTGGCGGTTTCGTCGCCGGTGACCCGCCAGAAAGCCGCCGCCGCTAAACAGATTATTGAGAATCATTACAAAAATTACTTGCAAGGGTTGCAAGATCGAAAAGAAAGGTCATATTTTTGTTTTTCTTTTATTTTAATGTTTTTACCCTTGATCGAACTTAGTAGTACTCTCGAAATGTCAACAATATAAGAATTTCATGTTTTCAATACACATGTGTAAAAAAAATTAAGTCTTTTTTCCTTTTGATCTTAAAAAAAATTTTATCTTTTTGTTGTTGTTGTTTGGTATTTTAGGAGGAGGGCTTTGCAGAGAAGGGCACAAGAGGATAAAGTGTCTAGCGAGGAGGAAGAAAGGATGTTGAGGAATTTGGAGAAGAGAGAAACTGAGTACATGAGATTGCAAAGGCATAAAGTTGGCATTGATGATTTTGAGCAGTTGACCATCATTGGCAAAGGAGCATTTGGGGAGGTACTTTTCATTTATTTATCGTGCATTCGCCCTTTTTCAATGTTCGATCGGTTGTTTATTTCTTGATCTAAATGATTTAACATGGATTTGTGTGTCTCTTTTACCTTATTAAGTGTTTAATTTGGTGATGCCTTTTTTTTGTGTATATTTTTGAACTAGATTTGTGTATTTTCAAAGTGTTAATGGAATTGTTTGGAAGATAGATGCAAGGGATTATGTAAAATTTCTGAAAGTCGTGTCTCTGTAAATGCGTGCGCTTCACACATCCGGATACTTATAGTGTAGTTGTAGTACTCACAGTATGAGAGCTGTTATCAAGTAATATCAACCTAGTATTACAAAGTCTAGAAGAAATACTGTATTTCTATTTCATAAGCAGTTCTTCTAGTAATCATAACGTATATTGCTTAGTTCGCAATGCCAAATGCTCAAGGTATTACCCTTATAGCAATACCAATGCCAGATTCGTTGTTAATGCATCAATATGACTGTGCTTAGTGCACATGCTTTGTAGAGGAAAATTACTATTGAAGAAAAATATCTATGGACTCGTAAATAACGTGGTAAGCGATGCAGGTCAGATTATGCCGCGCTAAAAACACAGGAGAAATTTATGCCATGAAAAAGTTGAAAAAGTCTGAGATGCTTAGCCGTGGACAGGTGAGAAAACATAAGCCTCAATACTGAAGAAAAATACTAGAAATCGAAGTAAATACATTCTTTAATTCATATAAGTTACTCAACATATTGCATTATTAATTGAACAAATACCTCGTAGGTTGAGCATGTCCGATCGGAAAGGAATTTGCTTGTCGAGGTCGATAGTCGGTGCATAGTGAAGCTCTTTTATTCCTTTCAAGACTCTGAATTCTTATATCTCATCATGGAGTATTTACCTGGTGGTGATATTATGACTCTTTTGATGAGAGAGGACACTCTCTCGGAGGACATTGCCCGTTTTTACATTGCAGAGAGCATTCTTGCCATTCATTCTATTCATCAACATAGTTATGTACACAGGTACAATAGTAATAATTATTCAGATTGAGTATTTTGATCTCATTTGTTCTTTTAGTGCCCTTATACCAAATTTGTCCGTCTGTAGGGATATCAAGCCGGATAATCTGATTTTAGACAGAAATGGGCATTTGAAGCTTTCTGATTTTGGCTTGTGTAAGCCGCTGGAAAAATATTCATCCATGTTACTGGAAGATGATGATTTTATTGCTCGGGATTCTAAAAATGAGAGCGAAGGGCAATCGGGCAGTGAGACTGCTCCTTGGTTAATGGCTAAAGAGCAGTTACAACAGTGGAAGCGCAATCGTCGTGCCTTGGTACTTTTTCTATCTCTTTTTTTTTTTGTTAATTCAGTAGTTTCATTTAAGCTGATTCTGACTGTGCAATCCATCTCTTGCAGGCATATTCTACAGTGGGGACACTTGATTATATGGCGCCAGAGGTTTTGTTAAAGAAAGGGTACGGGATGGAGTGTGATTGGTGGTCTTTGGGGGCAATATTGTACGAGATGCTCATAGGTTATCCTCCATTTTGTTCTGATGATCCTAGGATGACATGTCGCAAGGTATATCAAAATTTAACACTTCTGCCAATGTCATCCATGTTAAAGAAATGGTGTCAATTTCATTTGAGATTTTCGACTAATTCTGAAGCAACAAATTTTTTTGCTGGGGGTGAAATATTCTAGAAAGGCCAATTTATTTTTTCCCTGAAATATTATTTTTGTTTGTACACCCTCTATTTGTATCAGATAATAAATTGGAGAACATGCTTGAAGTTCCCTGAAGAACCGAAAATATCTTATGAGGCTAAGGATCTGATCCTCCATTTGTTATGTGATGTTGACAAAAGATTGGGGACTCGAGGTGTTGACGAAATTAAGGTATGTAATTCCAATATGTGGTTTAAGGGCATAATTGAAGTTTTTTCTTACCACTCATAGTGATATTTTGGAATTTTCTTTTCTAATATTCCTAACAATTCATGTTGTGAAGCTTGAATTTTCGTACTGAAAATTAAAGTTATTTGCATTTCAGGGACATCCATGGTTTAAAGGCATCAAATGGGACCTGCTTTATGAAATGGAGGCAGCATACGTACCAACTGTGAACGGAGATTTAGACACGCAGAATTTTGAAAAATTTGATGAGGTGAGTTATTGTGAACATAATTTATTTTTAAGCCTGATTGAGTAGAAATCATGCTTATATATATCCATGCATGTTTTGTAGTGATTTCTCATATGCCTTGCTGCCTTTTTTTTTTTTTTTTTTTTT